TGTTGTAGCTTTCCTTTCCTCTTCATGCTTATGGCAGCAAGCAGAATGATTCATGAGCAAAACAGCAGTAGAATTCCTTCTCTGTAAAATTAGAAATAGAAAAACAAATATCCTTTGAAAATAGCAATTTCTGGGAAATTGGAGGATGGATTTACACAGCTTCCTCTGCTGCTGACTACTTAAGTAATACAATACAAGTGCCTGTCAAGTGAAGGTCTTCCCATTCAACTATGACTATTCTTTTGTTATAGTTAGGTTAAGGTATATTTTTCAAAAGGTCATGGAGTGATGTCACCAGCTGGAACAGAGAGATCTGCAGTTCAGGAGAAGGACAGCTACCAATATTTTTTTTTTCAGCAGAGATGAACTTCCAAGCTTATTTTGAAGTTCCTTCTCAGTTAAAGCACTTCAGGAATTTCTAGAGATTTTTTTTTAGGTCAGAAGAATTTTGTGACACAGAATTAGCCACATGCACAAATTAATTTGAATGAAAATATTTACCCCCCACCACAGGCCAATGAAACAAAATAAGATTTTAGGAAGAAGAGATAACAGCAAATACAATAGAAATATATCAATATTTCTTATCCTAGGTATTTGGTGACACTGTATTATAGGAAGATCTATAAGGTAAAGTCATGAATTCTTTGAATCCTCAGTAGGCGGACCTTCAGAAAGTGACAGAAGAATTCTTAAATAAGATCTCTCTTTCTCTCTTTCTCTCTCTTTCTCTCTCTCTCTCCTTCTCTGTGTGTGTGTGTGTGTGCGCGTGCGTGCGCATGTGTCTTGACTCTTGGTGACTGCCTAGACTTGTCCCTGCAGTTTTCTTGTCAAGATTTTTGGAAGTGGTTTCCTGTTGCCTTCTTCCTAGGGCTGAGAGAGAATGACTGATCCAAGGTCACCCAGCTGGCCTTCTGCTTAAGGCAAGACAGTCTCCTGGTTTCTATGCTGATGCCTTAACTACTACACCAAACTGGCTCTGTCTGAAATAAGATAATGCATGGATATTACTAGGAGTATGACTTTACCTATGTAAATCTATTTCAGGAATGTATGCACTGATGAAGATTTTTAAGACTAGAATATTTGACAAATTGGGAAGTAAATTGGTTTGATTTCATGTGGACAGCTCAAAAATATTCATCAAATATGAGACAAGCATTATTAAGAAAATATTAGATTAGGAAAAATAGAAAAGAGAATTTCTGGGAAAGCCACTTCAGCTATCCAAAATGGACATTCAGGTTTTTTCCCTCTTATATTTGCATGTGGTTCAGATGGACCTATTAAGGAACTACTTTACAAGTCTTGATGTAGTAATCTATTAGTTGTTTGATTGTGCAAATGCTATACAATATTAAACTAACTTTGGAACCTTTTAACATCATTTTTTTTCTCTTTAACCTGTAGTAGACTTACGTTTTGAGGAAAAAAGAAGAAAGCCACTTAGGAATAGGGAGAATTCTACTCCTGCCTTAGACACAACAATCATTTGGATGACTTTGGGCCAGTCACACACTTTCTTCCTAGGAAGTAGGTAATAGCAAATCACTTCTGAAAATGTTGCCAAGAAAACTGTGTGAATCTGCCATGTAGTCACCAGAAGTCAAGGCTGACTCAAAGGATCATAACAAGAAAAAGAAAGGAAGACATTCTTCATCTCAGAGAATGAGGTACTGTGTGTATCCATATATCTTTGTGTATATCTAGTGAGTTGAGCTAAAGGCTTCACTAAAATAGATACATATGAAGAAATTTTCAGATACAGAGGGCAATTGATTATAATTCCTCATGCAAAGTGCAGAACTGATGCCACCACACGGTTGGTTAAAAATAGAATCTAAAAACTTACAAGATGTTTAGATCTTTCAGATTCTTGAGATCTCATATTTGACAGGTCAGAAAGCCAAATTTTTGTGGAATCTCATATAAAATATCAGAATTGTCATTCAATCTTTTTAGCAACCCCTAGAATGGGTTAGCAGCTATCCAATTCTTTTTTGTTTATGTTGCTGTTGGATTTTATATTGTTTTTATACTGTTTTATTGGTTGCAAGCTGCCCAGAGTTGTTTTAATATATTTAATTAATATATATCAATTAAATATATTAAGACAAGATATATATTAATTAAATAAATAAATCCCCAATATTAGCTACTAAAACTATCCTCTTTAGTAACTCCCCATGCATTTAATATTGAATATTTGTCCCCTTCTGCGTTTTCTTCTGATAATTATCTTAGCAGCCAAAAAGGAGCATGCCTTTCTAATCTGATAATGGCTAAACAACAAAACCACTCCGTCGAGTAAGTCTGTGCAGTTTTCATTTTTTAGCAAAGAACTGATGGAACGCGTACATTTTGCTATAACAGCTTAACAGAGCTACACCTTTTGGAATGATTTTCTTCAAATCTTCTATTCCTGCAAGCCATTCCACCACCTGATGCAACAGCGTTCATGTTTTCTGTTCATAAAAGGTGA